TAATATCAAGTTTGCGGTCCAAGCTTCCATGCACATGTAGATGAGCTAAAGCGACTATTGAAGGGCAAGTCAGTCATAGAGCACGTGAGTCCAACTCCGCCGCCACAGCGACCACCTACTCCTGAGCCTAGACAGCCAGCTGAATGCTCAACTGAAAAGCTGAAGTCTCTATTATACGCTAAGTTGTTGTCTGAGGCAGATGAGGGAGGACAGGTGGAAGTTGATCTTATAGGCATGCTCAATGCACAAACCCAGCCTGAGTATGTCACGAGGCCGGAGTTTCACGAATTTCAAGACAAAGTCCGAAGTTTCTGAGATCTCAATACAAAGCTGAATGTTATGGCAGACACCATCACGTAAGATTTCCAAACCTTGTCCAAGAGGATTCAGATCCTTAAGGACACTTGCAAGAGTCAGTCGGGTGGATCAAAGAGACGGCATGATGACGGGGATGACGACCCCGATCACCATGAGGGGGAGAAACGACAAAGAAGCACCGGCCATGACATCTCCCGACATATCCAAAGACCAAGTCCCAGTGTAGAATCGTCTCAAACATCAACAGGGTCAAGGTCGGCGTCAGCGTCAGCAAGCCACCAAGGGGAACCAAAGCCAATGGTTGAAAAGCCAGAGGCTGCTGAAGTTCAAAGTGCTCAAATGCCTACTGCAGTTGCTGAGGTCCCATGCCCAATTATCAACATTGAATCCGATGAAGAAGGGCCTCAGCCGCAGCAAATCAAAAAAGAGATTGACAACTTCTTCACGTTCCCTGATGATGAAATGCTCGAAGAAGGGGATTTCGATCACATTAACGATCTCAACAACGCCTTACCTAATTCACCTCAAAGAGATCGGTCGATTCCCCAACCTCCAACAAGTCAGAGAACAACGGGCCCGAGTACTCCAGCTGCATCTCAATAGAAAGGTGGGAGAGAACGCGAATCAGAGTTCCATTCCTTGAAGATACAGAGATTAAAGTCTTCGTAAGAAGAATTGTGGAATTGGATCTGGTTCAAATTCTCCAGATTACTCACCTCAATAGCTTACAAGTCATAGAATATATGCACACGCTAAAAGCAAAGGCTCAACCGCTCGAAATGGTCAAATCAAGGCATAAGATCATAGGGATTAAGAACATCGACACCGACAGACACTTAAACGTCCGTTTCCATTCTTCACCGTTCTCGGAACAAACGGCAAGGAATGGAAGTTCACAAAAGCCGATTTCAGGCACTTATCTTTTGAAGACTTCGAGACGATGTACCTTAACATTCGCCAACGGACTATCAGACCAGAAGACGTGCAGATAGCTCTAGAAGCTATCAAGCGCTTCATGCTCCGTCAGATAATGCTTGGGTACGTATTGGACTTGCAGTTGGGCATTGAAAGCAATCAACCAAAGATAAACCTGTTGAAGCCAAAGCAGAGTCTAGAAGACATAGTCTCTGCCCTTATGCCTGTTGATAGAGTAGCCCGAGTTTGCCATTGTTTACTCCAACAACATCGGAGAAAAGAAAGTCATGCGTTTCAACGAGCTACCATCCTACTCTAACGGAACCCTAAAGATAATCAAATTAAAGATGTCAAACAAGCTGGAGCTGGAAACAAAAGGACTTGACAAGCTTGACCCGCATGACAAGAACATTATGTTGAATGCTTTGGACTTAATTGACAAGAAGCTGGAGTACCAAAGAGTAATGCGCAGATTCGAAGTATATTTTGCCATCGCCCGAGAAGAAGATTTATCTGAAGCGTCCTTTATTACAAAAGGGGAAGAATGTTAGGTTTATATTTCTATTTGTAATAAAGTAGAGGGACTATTTGTGTAACTACCTTCAAGATATATATATACAGCTTCCTAGCTTTAGAGTAGGTCAACTCATTTATTTTGTAATATCAGCTTATTGAGAAGCAGCCGCCAAAGAGAAACACTGTAGTTTGTATTCCACGTCTGAATTAATAGACAAGCCGACTGATTTGCTATTTCCATTGTGTTAATTTTATTTCATTGTTTCTTCTAATCATCTTGGAAAACAACAGTTCTAATACTTGATTTTCTTCTTTTTAGGTTTTAAATTTTAATTTAACCATCTTTTTTAAACTACGATCAACTTAACCACCCCAATCAAACAAATTGAGTTAGGTTGGGTTTTTAAAATCTCACAACGTGGCCAACACAATCCATGTGCACCTTAATTTCGGTTTCTTAAGCATACTGAACAACTTTTGAGGTAGTGAAAATTAATATGCCTCTTTTCATACAACACCAATACACTAGTTCAAGCTTCAGAACTTCAATTATCGTGTTCTAACAAAAAAAAACGGGTGCTTTGGGAAAAAATAACATTAAATGAGATTTCAATTAGAAGCATGACCTAAAAAAATCAAGGACCTTCAAATTGTGTTATTCCTAAAATACCCTTAATGATCGTAAAACGATGAATTATTGCACCTTATGATGAGGGTCATTTGCCTAAATAATTGGTACAAATCGTAAGAATGGTAAATTTTCGTAGAATATTGTAAAAATATCGTAAGATCTCGTACAAATCTTAAGATTGTGTAAGATCTCGTCTAAATCGTATATAGAAATTGTGAGATCGTAAATCTCATAAAAACTCGTAATATCTCTTAGAAACTAGTAAATATCATGAAAGAAGGTAACAAAATTGTAAGGTAGAGGGTGACGGGTTGCATTTTAGAGTACCAACTCCATGATCTTCTGTTACATGGACACAACAGCGGAGCAAGAGGACTATTGTTGTTCTTATTCTGTTACGCAAACACAGAAGACGCCAATGAGATTGTCGGCAAAAAGGAAGACGTTCCCGGAGCATGTAGCGAATGGGGCGATTGACGGAAATACATGTTGAGTTTAGGGGAATTAGGAATCTGAGATGGTTTGGGGTTCGTCGCACCTTTATATCAACTCACATCCCATCTCCATTTTCTGCTGGGATTTGGAAATATGTATGGGAGGGGGAAGAGTTATTTAGCTAAATAAGAGTTACAAAGATCAAAGAGGTGTTACGCGGGAGGAATTCAAACTTTGATTTTGAGGGTCTTTGATTTGGGGGAAATTTAGTCATTTATTTGATCTAAATAATCAAAATAAATTGTAAAATATAATAAAAGTAGGAGATCATTTTGCAAAAAGAGCATCTGTCTATAGATGATTTAGCTAAATAACCCCAAAAAAGAGCAACGCCTTCTTGCAGCACAAGTCTCCAAATGAACTCCTAGTATATGACCTCTGGCAAGCCTTTGAGGCTCGCGGAATCTGCATGTATACCAAAATGTAACAACCAAGAGAATAATTCTCTTCTAGAGTACACAAAAATAGTAACCATGTGAAAGATCAGTCTAATAGTTTAATACTTCATACGGAAGCTAGTGGCAACACCCAGCCTGCCCGAGTGGTAACCTCATCTGGTCAAGCAGACTACAAGCACCTCTACAGTTTTCATATGAGTTCTACCAAGGGACCTAGATAAACTACAACTCAACCAAAATCTTAAGTTGGTGCTTGATAGATAGAAGCCTAACAAATTCAACCGTCTTTTTGGATACTCATAGGCTCTAGCACCGGTTGGTGCACATAACTTAGTGACCACATGAAATATACCCTTCTAGGGGGTAGCTAGAGACGGACCATACCAGAACAGACCAGACCACCTATCACAAAGTAAATACCATTTTTTTTATTTCATAGTTTTTTCATATAAACCCTAAAGTTTTAATGTTTGGGTTCACCCAAATTAACTTATGCTTGCACATTTAAGGACCTAAGAAAATTACGGTTACCCCATTTTTTGTGGTTTCACAGGCAACCATACATACCCTTAAGGGTAGGTCCGCCCCTGTCGGACTGTGCTCATCAAGGCACCTCTTCCCTCGTTTGAATGCTCTTTGGGTTCAACCGGATGTTCCAAGGGGCAAATCAACGTAATTATAGAATTTATGTAATAACATGTTATATTTTATTAAGTAGTTATTACTATGTAGATGACAGCAATTGGTGGTATTAATGTTTTGTCTTATGTTGTCTTCTCTTCCTCACCTCATAGTATTTTCTTCTTCAGATCTACTTTTTGTTTCTTTCTTGCAGATGACAATAAGAAGGGGGAAAGAGTTTGAGGTGGAGCATCCTACACTCACTACGACCTCGATCCCAGTGTAAGTGGACAATAAGAATTGAGATGAATCGCATGATATTGATGACAAAGTGTTAATGTATTTTCGCTTCGATTCCCTGAAATCTTTGCTTCCTACACTCACTACCACCTCGATCCCAGTGTAAGTTGACAATGAGAATTGAGATGAATCGCATGATATTGATGACAACCCTTTGGAATGCAGTGTGTGTAGGATTATATTACATCATTATTTCTACCCTTTGGAATGAAGTGTGTGTAGGATTATATTACGTCATTATTTCTAGGTTGTAACCCAGCGTTGAATGCATTTAAGTGTTTATGTATTTTCGCTTCAATTCCCTGAAATCTTTGCACCTATTAAGGTCACTATTGAAAATTTTCATCTTTGCAGTTGAAATTTATTACTTGTTCAAATGTCTAGTTAATTAATTATGAAGATACATATATATATATATATATATATATACACACGCACACACACACGATGAGGACAGACCTTGTTTAGTCCCTCATACCTAGGCTTCGAGGGAACCTTTAAATCGGTGCCTTACATACCACTGTCTATGCAAGCATTTAATTTCACAGGTATTCTATCTGAAAAGTGGTTTGGGTACAGTTATTCTTATCCTATGACTAATGAGCTGCCATGATCCTGTATAACTTGTATGAAAGTTTCCAACACTATTGTTTGTGAAATATAAATTATACACCAATTTGTTTGCAAACAATGCAATAGAAAGACATTAAAACACCAAAAAGTAACAAAAGCTCTATACAGAATTGTATCTACATATGTGATAGGAAGACATCAAGTACAAAAAGATTTACAAAAAAAATGCTAACCTCCCATTAAACATCGCATCAAAGACGAAGGAAACCAAATGACAATCAGGATTCTCCTCATCAACCACAACCGTCAACGTATCTTTATGCACGTTAACATGATTCTTAACTTTCTTTGCCTGCTGATGGTCGACATACGTTGGCGGAGACACATGTGGGGGAACCGCAACCATTGGAGGTGGCCGCATAGGTGGCACCCACCCATAATTGTAATTACCTTGCAGATGATTATAAGGCCCAAAATTGGGCCTAACAATCAACGCGTTGTTGGAGTAATTACTGCCATCGTACGGTTGGTACACCGGAGGCGTAGGCAGTGGAAGTCCCGATGGCGGTCGCGGTTGCGGATGCGGTTGCGGTGGCGGTGGCTGTGGCGGAGCAGAGTAAATGTATGGTGGTGTAGAATAAGAAGGGTCAACAGAAGGGTAAGAGGATGAAGAGATGAGCTGGGAAGGTGGATTTTGATGGTAATAGTCGTTGTTTCTTCTTCTATTGCTGCTAAATGATATACCCATCGAAGTTGAGGACGATTGGGAAAGAGAATTTGAGAAATCCGAAGGTGGGTTTAGAGAGAAATATGGTGGGAGTAATCGTAGTAGAGAAGGAACCGAAGAAACAGATCTCGTTTTGGTTTGACGACGATCGAAGTTTCTGAATTACGACTACTCGGTAGTTGCAAATTGTAATGTGTTTGATTCTGTCAAGGACGAAATTACCAAGAACCTTTGACTTCGAAAAATAAACAACATAAAGCAAAGAATCTCTACGTATAGTGTTAGAAAATACGATTGCAGTGGAGAATAAGCAGAGTAAGTCAAAATGATTACGTCATTTTACTTAGGGAGGTTTGGGATTGCTTATTTAAAACAACTTATGTTTTTTTTTTGTAAAAGTGTTTTATGTGGTATCAAACCGGAATTTTATAAAAAATGTTTGGATTAGCTTATAGCGGTATCAAACTGCAATAAACTGATAAGTTGTTTTTTAGTGTTTGGCAAATTTTGCTTATATCTGTAAAATGATCAAAAAGGACAATCTTCCATATTATTGACTTATGGGAGTGCTTGGGATTGCTTATTAACTTATTTGATTTTTTAACATGTAAAAAATTATTTTTTATCATTTATAATAATATATTTGACAAAAATTTATATCAATAAGATTAATAATTAACAAACATTTATACCAATACTATTAATAATTCAAGACAAAAATAATAGATATGTACAGCAAAACAATATTATATCGTCATTTATAATGTAATACTTTTATAACCAAAATATCAATAACAAAAATAGATCGTCATTTATAATAAATATTCACCTGGATCTTCTGCAATCATATCTCTTACCGCACTCAAGATTGCACATGCATGCATCCCTCTATTCTATTGCCCATATTGTTTAGAGGATTGTTTGATTAATAATTCAGAGCCAAGGTTCCAAGCCAATTAAAATGACTTATTTGCCTACTGTTAAGAAACTCCACATTCCATAAGAACTACCCCTACTTCAACCAACCCAACAGCAAAGAAAATTAATACTCACCCCCCATCACAAAAACAAGTTTATATTCAACTTTCAAACGAATCCAACAACTGTATGACACAATGGAATTTTATGAATTGTAGTTCAGGATGATTACRAYTCCCATATATTGMATCTCCGTTCATCCCACWGATCCCTTATTGTGTTAGTAGTCATTCATGGTCAACATAAAGAGCAATAAACACAAAGACCCGAGACGGAACTTCATATCAAGCAGATTATGAATTGTTTCAAAACTGGAAATCTTATCCCAAACTATAGAAACATATAATGACGTTACACTATTTTGAAATGGGTTTACTATCAGAAATAAGAAACCAAACATAGAAGATGAGCAAGAAATCTGCCATGGGTTTAGAAACACCAGTTTTGAGACTAGTTTTAGTGAAGAAACCGAATGGGGGAAGATCGATCGATATTCACATATACGGATCGAGATTCACAGCCACAAATCGATCTCCTGTTGTGATCGATTGTGAAAGAGAATCGATTTTTGTGATCGATTGTGAGAAGAGATCGATCGATTGTTGTGTGGTCGACTGTGAGAAGAGAATCGATCGTGTGGAGAAGAGATCGTCGATCTCTCTGTTTATGTGGAGAAGATATTGTAGTTGTTTCTGTGGAGCAGTCGTAGGTAGAGGGGGGATGAAGAAGTCATCGTTTCTTGTGGAGCAGCTAGGGTAGACAAAGGTTTTAATAAAACAGGGTTAAAATTGTAAACTGGTAATAAGCAGTTTTTCATAAGTCAAGAAGGATTAACTTATCAAAAACAACTTATTACCGATTTGGTACCGGTATAAGCAGTTTATTTTCCCTTACCCAAACACTATAAAATAACTTATCTCCGGTGTCAGACTGAAATAAGTCAAAAAACCACTTTTAAAAGCAATCTCAAACACCCCCTTAGAATATTATGGGTGTTTGGGATTCTTTATAAAAGCTGTTTTTTAATTTATTTCAGTCTGGTATCGGTGATAAGCTGTTTTCTGGTGTTTGGATAATAAACAAAACTGCTTATACCGGTGCCAAACCGGTAATAAGTTATTTTTGATAAGTTAATCATTCCTGACTTATGAAAAACTGCTTATTACCAGTTTATAATTTTAACCCTGTTTTATTTAACTCCAGTTTAATACCACATAAGTTAATAAGCACTTTTACAAAAAAAAAAAAAAAACATAAGTTGTTTTAAATAAGCAATCCCAAACACCCCTTTAATAGTCCTATTAGAAAAATGGTAGAGAGGCTACCGCAAGCTTTCAAGTGATTTAAACCCAAAAGGTATTGCTGGTGTTATATTTTCATAATTTAATATATGTATAAAATTCACACAACAAAGTCGAACCCTCATTATGGGTTGTTTACTTGCGGCTTAATTAGGCTTATTGGTCTATTTGGCTTATTCGCACAGCTCATTTGGGTTATTTACTTACCGCTTATTCACACAGAAACATGGCTTAATCGCACAGATAGAAATGGTGTGTTGTCCTCTTTCAGCCACAAAAATGACACTCATACCCCTTATTTAAAGCACTGCCTCCTTCCCAGATGAGACACCCCATCGTCGATCTTTTTATCATTTTTTGTTTTGATGTTCAAATAATTAATATTGGAGGGGTAAATCAGTCATTTATGCTATTGAGAATATTGGTTCAGATAAAAAAGTAAACAACAACACCCATTTATCTAGACAGACAAATTTATCCACACAGACAAATTTATCCATACATGACTTAATAAAAAAAATTGGTAAATAGCCCCATAGTTAACTTGATCTCTTAAACAACTGTACAAGTTGTTTAAAGATTATAAACAAATGAAAATTTTATCACTCTACCAATGTGGGACAAGTGATATACCTCAACTCACCCGTGTATGTATATATATATATATATAGTTATCAATACAAGTAAGATTCTACTGATTTTCCTGTGGGACAAAACCTCACTATGAAGACCATATATACAACAATCCCCCACTTAGTTTTCATTCAATAAAATCAATTATGCATAAGTAAAAGTATCTTTCAATTTGAACTTTAACTTGGTGTAAACTACTCAAGGTTCTAACTAAATCTATGGCGGCCTATAGCTTTTGAGCCAAGATTTGGATATTAAAACCGCAATAACTACACACACAATTGATTGTCAAGATATGTTCATAAACATATAGCACCATTACGACCATGTTCTCATCCTGGTATCATGAACACTTACAAAAGTCGACCCAAACTTTTGTAGAAGCGGCACCACGTCTTGTGTTCATATATATGAAATTCATTAAACACCGAATTTCATTAAGAGTTTAACACTCACCCTAACAACATATACTAGATCTAACTAGTATGAACCTAGTTGGAAATAAACAACTTGTTATTACCACATTGAACCTTTTATCTAAGGGTAAACTTAGAGAAAAGGTTTGTTTCCATTGTTACCAACTAATCAAATAAGTCTTAATCCCATTTCATGGCTTGTTCTAAATACCATATCTTTTGAGAGTCCTTTGGTAATAGGATCAGCTAAATTATTACAAGTTTTTACATACGCAACTGCTATTATCCCTTCGGATATTAACTCTCTCACATACGCATGTCTCAAACTTATATGTCTAGATTTTCCATTATAAATCTTATTATATGCTCTAAACAATGTTGCCTTACTATCACAATGCAAAGAAATGGCTAACAGCGGTTGTGACTACAACTTTATATCCAATAACATATTTCTAAGCCATTCTACTTCTTTGCCCACACATGCTAAGGCTAAAAACTCATATTCCATGGTGGAATGAGTTATACAAATTTGTTTCTTTGAGGCCCAAGAAACAGCACCACCACCAAGCATAAAAATACAACCACTTGTGCATTTATTATTACTATTACCAGTTATCCAACTAGTTTCATTATACCCTTCTGGAACTGCAGGATAGATTCCATAATGTAAAGCTAGCTTTTTGGTCCTCTTTAAATATCCAAAAACTTTCCCAATAGCTTCCCAATATTCTAGACTAGGATTACTTGTAAATCTAGAAAGTTTGCAAATAGCATAAGCAATATCAAGTTTAGTACAATGTGTAACATATATCAAACTACCAATTACATTAGCATAAGGTTGAGCTACAACTCTCCCACCATTTTTACTAAGTTTACAAGAAGAATCATACGGGGTATTAGCTTCTTTAAATTTTAAATGCTCAAACTTAGCATTCTCAATATAGTGACATTGATTTAAAGAATAACCCCCACTATTTTTTTTTATCTTTGACGCCTAATATTGTATCAACCTCATTTAAGTCTTTCATTTGAAAACATGAACTTAAATAAGCCCTCGTCTCATTTATAGCTTTCATGTTTGTTCCAGCGATTAACATATCATCAATATAAAGGCATACAATAATACAATAATCTTTTGTAAACTTAGAATATATGCATCTATCCACTTAATTATGAGTGAAACCACTTGTTAATATAGCACAATCAAATTTTTCATGCCATTGCTTAGGAGCTTGTTTTAAACCATACAAAGATAACAAGCTTACAAACTTTCTTTTCATTAACGGGGAGTACAAACTCTTCAAGTTGTTTCATGTACACCTCTTCATCTAAATCACGATTTAAGAAAATTGTTTTTATATCCATTTGATGTACATACAAATCATTGATTGAAGTTAGAGCTAAAAGCACTCTAATGGATGTAAGTCTAGCCACCGTTGCATAAGTGTCAAAGTAATCAATACCTTCTCTTTGACTAAACCCTTGTGCTGCTAGTCTAGCTTTAAAAGTTTGTACAGATCCATCAATGTTACATTTTACTCTAAATACCCATTTACAACCAACTAGGAGGCAAATCTGAAATAACCCATATTCTATTAGCTATTAAAGATTCCATTTCATTATATATTGCCTCTTTCCAAAACTCAGAATTTTTTAGAAGCCATTGCTTCTTGAAATGTTTTTGGATCATCTTCAGTATTAAACAAGATGGGTATTTTATTTCAAACAAGTTCTCTATTTCCTTCTATAAAAAAGGAAATGAAATCAGGACCAAAATTCTTTTCTTTCCTAGCTCGTCCTCTTCTTCTAGGTTCAACAACATCATTTGAAGAAGTCC